TTCTGACCTTCTTTCTTCTAATCTCAAAACACACAACACTCCACTTAACTATAATACAAATGAAAGTATCAAAACCATCTGGCATGAAATTGAATACTTAATTATTAATGCTGCAATACACTCTATTCCTAACAAAAAATCACACAAATGTAACTATAATCACCAATACTCTCCCCATAGTACCTCACTTCATTTATTACTTAAAGAACTTGGTCACTTAATCAAAATTTTGAAAAATCCTAACAAAAATCTTAAGATTAATCAAATTAATTCAAGAGTTCAAAATATCAATTCAAAATCTCAGTACAACATTCATATCCTTACTTCTCATCAATATTTACAACTCAACCAATGGATCCAATATACACAAGATATTTGGAAACAACTCTACCATGCTCGTTATCTTGAAAACTCTTTTTTGCTTTGACAACAAATTCAACAAGTTACCAAAAAAAGATGTAAAACACTTTTTATATATCCCAAACATGCCATTAATAGCATTCTTAATTACTATAAAGCTACTATTTATTTTTCTAACATCAAACTTCTGGACCAAATAGTCACAGACCCAAATCTTATTAAATATTATATACAATCTTATTTTCATAACTGGATAGTTTATCAACCAACTAACTAAACCCTTTTTAATAACTTTTGGTCTGCATAATATCAACCACTATCATATATCAATACTCAATGGTATAACTCTCTTTTTTCTCCCATTACTGAAAAAAAAGTGACTCAACCTATAGCAAAGCTTCCTAATAGAAAAGCCTGTGGTTCTACAGGCATTAGTTATGAAATGCTTAAACATGCTAGCACTACTTGCATTAAAGCTATAACTGCTTTGTTTAATTGCTGCCTTGTTTCAGGTCAAACTCCTAAACAATGAAAGCATAGCAGAATCTAATCTATTCCTAAACAAAACACATTCGATAGAGACCTTAATCTCACTCACCCAATAAGTCTTATTGAACACACTCACAAAGTTTATACAAAAATTATTACTAATAGAATTAGTAATATATTTTTAAAACATCCTATACTCTTACTATACAACTATGTCACTTTACCTAATAACTGTACTTCTACTTCTATTCATATACTTAACAATATTACTAAGGATGCAGTATGCAACCAAAAAACCATTTGGCTTATATCTTAAGATATGAGTAAAGCCTATAATTCTGTCAACTTGAATCTTCTTTAATACTTGCTTCAGCATCTTGCACTTCCAAGTTCTATTATCAATACTATCATCAACTTATTTACTAACTGACAAAATCAAGTTATCACAAATCTTGGCCTTACATCTTCATACCCTGTACTTAATGGTATTAACTAGAATAAAACTATTACCTCTCTTTTGTAAAGAATTTACTATGACCTACTTATTTCATATATTAACAATAACTTTAATAGTTATTTCACAAAAGTTTCTTGGCCAACTAATCTTAAAGATCTAACATATAACAAACTTGAATCACACAGTTCAGTTTTTGCTTATATGAATGATACTCTTTGGATTGCATCTTCATAGCAAGAGCTTTCACAAATTCTTAACATAGCAAAATCCTTCTACAATGTGGCAAATATTCAAATTAATTCTACTAAATCCATACTTACAACTAATGAACCTTTAATCAACTACAATCCTATTACATACAATAATCATTTACTTAATCTTCATTTTCTAAATAAACAATTCAAATTTCTAGAGATGTTACCCAGGTAGGGCCAACCCATACAGATCAGCAAATTTGACAGGTCATGCAAGTTACAAGTCATTGTTGGATTGATCTGGGTCAAAAAAGGTTAGTGTAAGTTTATAATTCAGAGCTCATAGGAGGACATTTATATGATTGGCTAATGTAAATCAATTGCTCAGATAACTTATTTATATGTTTTAAAGTACTTTTTAAAAACACGATGTTTCATAAACAGAAAATTACTATGAATACTATTAACTGTCAATATTCACTATAAAAAAGAATCTCAAAGAGATCTTAAAACTGACATAGTTTACTTAGAAGAGAAAATACATTCAATATCTATTAGGCCATATCATATAAGTATTATAGACAATTAACTAACTAAAGAATAATAACTGAAATGCATTTGTTAAAGACTCAACCAAGTTAAACTAAATAGCTATTACTACTGTTTAACTAGTATTGTAGGTGTAAAATCTTCTCAATAAAAGAACTGGGTTTATGCTTGAGTTTATTTGGTTTTTGTAATGTTTTTATATTTGTTGATCGTAGGTAATAGATTTAGAATTCATATATAATCTGATTTTGATCATAACTTATATAATCATATTTCAACATCCACTAATGCTAAAATAAACCACATAATCCTCTGACTTCCTCTGATTGGCCAGATTCAGTCATGAGGCCTAACTACAGCATTAACAGAAAGAAGAAAGAAGTTAGAATATTAGTGATTGTACTAAAGAAAGTACTATACTATATAATAAGAAAGCAAAAGAACACTCATCTGAACCTGGTACTATTTTTTTAAGCCTCATTAACCTTAGTTATTCAGACCACACCTCGATCAAAGCCTACCAAATTGGGAATTTTGGTATTAATTTAAAGGTGTTGAGTTGTATATTGCATTATTTTGTAATATTAGAGTCAAATAACACTTTTACAATGTATGTACTTGGCTTTAGACTACTACTATAAATAATAAACAGTACACTGATAATGCTGAAATCAATAACTTATTAAATCAGCTAATCAATCATTCGGTCAGTTTGTTACTACAATGTTTCAAAATTTATGAGAACAGCTGTAAATAATTATTAAAAAAATTGTGATCAATAAGTTATTTATTTTGGCATAATCAGTCTTAAAAAAAAAATTAGACATTAGGAGTTTCAGTATTAATGATCTAATATCCAATTTCAAATAAAATAAATATCATTTTTTACAAAATAAGTCTTATTTTTTAAAGTATATACATATTAATATAATTGTTTGCCAGTAGATATTTATAAAAAGAAGTCAGTTTTATAAAGAAAAAAAAAATCTTTTAAACTTCCACTTATGTTTGAAATAAGATAATTCTAAAGTCTCTATTATCAAGAATTTGTCAATTAGCTTAAAAGTATAGTTCAAGATGTGATTCCTCAAAATTAATGTTTTATAAAATATTTGTCAAAAGTATTTTATGAAAGTCTTTTAATACATCCATCTCTTACCTATAGAAAATTTGCAATATTTAGAAATTTTTGACCTGTATTTTTTCAATTCTTGGCCAGTAAAGATGATCTGAAAGTATTATATTTTTGCATAATATTTATATTAATCATCTGATCTTAAATTATACTGATATTATTAATTTATTGAATTATTATACAGAAATTAAAAACTTGCTGGATCGGTCAAAAAATCATGCAGTAAATAATAATAATTTAGTAATTGTCAAAAGTGCATCGAATTAACTTATTTTGAAAATAAGTGGAAGATTAAAATTCTAGTTAAAAATTAAATAGTCATACCTGGAATTAGCTTTTTTAGTAAATATCGATCTGTAAGCAATTGTGTAAACAAGTATATACTTTTTTTTAAAAAAAGAAAGGATTTATAGATCTTCTATTTTGAAGTAAATATATCATTTATTTTATTTAAAATTGGATATCTGGTCCTTAATTCTAAAACCCCAATACATACATAATAAAAATAAAAAAATTGAATGAAAAATTAAAAAAAAATTTCTATCTATAACTCTATTTAAAAACATGAGAAACTGACTAAAGGTTTAAAGCTGCATTAAGAAATAAAATTGTATCAGTGTATTCAGGATTAAGATATATTCGCCTTTCAGTAATAGTAAGACCTGCAGCTAAGAAGAGGCATTTAAATGGCACTGACATTGCTAGAATAGACAAATACTTGCGAGCAAGTTTTGTAAATATTGGATATTCAGCTTTTCTTGATGCCCACCAACTAAGTATATCTATTTGACTTGAAACCTTCAGTAGCAACAAATATAAGTCAAATTTATTGTCTACAGTATTATTATCTTGCTGACTTGATTGTTCTTGAAGATGCATTACCATAGTAGAAAAGATATCTTCATTACTATTTTCATCACCAGATACTGTTGGATCTGCTTGACTCTCTGTATCTGATTCATTGTCTAATTTATTGAAACCTATTTTTTTATATTCCATACATGCTTCTAAAATAGTTATTGGCTTTTTATTTTTTGTAAATATTTCCATGTCTTTTAGTTTGTGGGTCAAAAAAACAGCAAGTCAAATTAGCCTGGTTGGTTCTAAAAACCATCTTTGGAGTGATTCATATAGAAAGGTTTCAAAGTTTTGAACATTATTATTATATATTATTGTATTATTAATTTTACTCTTGATAAAGTTAATAGCATACTATGCTTATAACAATGTTGGATACTTTGAGCCAGATAAATGTTTTGAGACAACTTCATAAGAACGCAATAATTTAACCAATTCAGTTATCTAATCCCAATCATTAGATGATAGTTCTTTTTCTTCATAAGTTCTTAAAGAACTTTTTTATTAGCTTCTGCTAAAAGAGACTTATATCTATATAGTGCTGGTTTAAGAATAATTAACTATTTTAACATATAAAATGTAGAGTTTCATCTTGTAGAAACATCCCATATTCCACAAAGAAATTTATTTCAATCTTCCATCTCAACTAAGCTGTCAGAAGGAATTGTTTTTGTTTTGGGTTTCCACTAAAATATAACACAACATTTCTATATTTTTTATTAAATCTGTAATTTCAGAATATTTTTTTAATGCATCATTTATAGCAAGTTGCAAAGTATAACCAAAACAAAAATGTTTTTGTATATTATTTCATTTGTAACAGGATCAGAATATTAAGGCCGATTTTATTACAACTTAAAAGGGAGCTTGCCATTTATAAGCAAAAGGTGAAGTATTTTCTTTATTACTTGGTTATTTTTCTTCTTTGCTAACGTTTTTACTAGCTAACTTTCTTCTCTATTTATAGCTAAAACTAATTCGGCCTTTTTCCTTACACAATTATTGCTTATACGAATTTACCCTATGACTACATTTATTATGTGCTACTACTACTACTACTAATTACTACATTATTCATGTTCATTAAATGGGTTGCTACTACTACTATTAATTACTACATTATTCATGCGCATAACACGGCCCATTACTACTATTACGAATACAGCTCCGACTTAGTCAGGCCATCATGTGACCTTCCATAGTGCAATCATATACTTCGTGTTCATCGATCCCGATTTGTTCGTTACGCAAGTCACGTGCACGTGCATCGTTGTACCCCTATGAGTAGAATCTACATCTAACCTCTTACACTTTCCCCATGCTTCAAATTCTTCTACTAAGTCTTTACAGTTTTCGAGGTTCATTAGTAGCTCTCAAGTAGCATTGTGTAATAGGTAACCTTTCCATTTTACAAGGTACTAAACCTGGCGTTGAAAAATATGTTTATCTAGTATGCCTTCGACTTCGAACTCTGGGTCTGAGTGGTGTTCCCTTATAACCGGAGTAGGTGGCTATGCTATATCTCTGTCTTCAAACTCATTTGGATAGTACAACTTTAACAGTGAAATATGGAAAACTGGATAAACGAGCAAGGTGTCGAGCAACTCTAACTAATATGCTGTCATGGATATCTTGCGTATAATTTTGAACGGCCCGATAAATTTTGGTAAGAATTTCTTTGTTAGGCATTTAACATTCGCGGGCGAAGTTAAATTTGCTGAATTTAACATTACTAAATCTCCTTCATTAAATTCTAAGTATCGCCTTTTCTTATTTGCATAGTTTTCTTATCTTTCCTGGGCACTTACTAACTCATCTCTTGCCACTTTTATTATTGTTACCCAGTGTTCTATTAGTTCTTGTACGGCTTTTACGTTTGTTTGTTAAATTTTGCTGATCATTAAGCTAGAGAGAGTAATAGAATGATGAACATTATCTAGTTGGAAAAAGGTGAAACCTGTAGAGCATTGTAATGAATTGTTATATGCAAATTCAACCGCTGTTAAGAGTTGATCTCAATCGTTTTGTTTGTAATTCATGTAGACATGTAGGACTTCTTTGAGTATATGGTTTGTACATCTGTTTGTCTATTGGTTTGAGGGTATGCTGCGGTGGACATTTTCAATTTCGATCCCATGATTTGGAAAAGACCTTTCCAAAATCAGCTTGTGAATTTTGGGTCTCTATCTGAAATTATGTATCTAGGTAGTCCATGGTGCCTAAATATTTCATCAAAAAAAAGCTGTGCAATTTCCATTGCTGTCACGGTTCTTTTGGTAGGTAAGAAATGTGCTTTTTTACTTAATTTGTCTACGACCACCATTATTGAATCGTTTCCATGTTCAGTACATGGCAAATGTGTAATGAAATCCATCGAAATTACCTCCCATGGTTGAGCTGGTATTTCTAAGAGTTGTAACAACCCTGCAGGTGCCTGCGTAGAGCCCTTGTTACGTTGACAACTATTGCAGCTACGAAGATACTTTTTTGTGTCTTTAGCCATGTTTTTCCAATAGTAATATCTTCTCAACCCTTCATATGTTTTCTCAAATCCGAAATGCCTACTGATATCATGTTGTTCTTTCAACAGGAGCATTCATGTTTTGGATTTTTTTGTAAGGCACAACCATGAATTTTCTTTATCTTCAAAGGTAATAATTCTGTTCTCGTGTAGCTTGTAATGGTTTAATTGTTTTCCTAACCTTTTCACTTCATCACAACTAGGGTCTTCAAGCACCTTCAAAATTTTTTGAAAATGGGCATCCTCTTCATATTCTTTTTTTATTCTTTCATATAGTTCTTCATCTATGTGAACTTCACTAATGCTATTTACCTCAGGTTTTCTTGATAGAGCATCAGCTACCACGTTGGTTTTTCCCAGACAATATTTAATCACAAAATCATATGCTTGGAGCATTTCAACCCAACGGGCTTGCCTACGTGACAGCTTTGCTTGCGACTGCAAGTATTTTAGTGATTCATAGTCAGTTGTCACTTGGAAAAATCTTCCTTCTAAATACACACGCCAAACCTTTAATGCATGTATGACTGCCAAGAGTTCCTTTTCATGCACTGGGTAGTTTAACTCAGGCGGCGTTAGTTTTCTGGATTCATACGACACTGGTTGGTCTCCTTTTACTTGGTCTTAGCACAGAATTGCACTGATTGCTATATCAGAGGTGTCCGTTGTTACTGAAAAGGGTTTGTTGAGGTCAGGTATTAATAAAACTGAGGTGGAGGTTAATGCCTTCTTGAGGGCCTTAAAAGCTAGTTCCTGCTGTTCGTTCCAAATGAATTTTTCATCTTTCTTAAGCAACTTGGTTAGTGGTGCTGCTACAGTTGAAAAATTCGTAACGAACTTGCGATAGTAACTTGCAAGGCCAAAAAAGAACAGAGGTCATGAATGTTAGTTAACGCTGGCCAGTCTTGAATGACAGAGGTTTTCTTGGGGTCCATTTTTATTCCATCATTAGATATAATATGACCTAAGAACTCAACTTCATTTCTTCCTAGGTCGCATTTTTTCATTTTTCTGTATAGCTTATGGTGCCAAAGGGTTTCAAAAACCTGACACACATGCTCGTGATGCTCTTCTTTCATTTGGCTGTATACTAGTATATCATCTAAATAGACAATGACACTCTTGTCTAATTGATCCCTAAAAATATCATTCATTAACCTTATAAATAAGGCAGAGGCGTTTGTCAAGCCGAATGGCATGACAAGAAGTTTGAAATGATCATATTTGGTTCTAAACGCAGTTTTATGAACATCCTCATCTTTCACCCTTATCTGGTGGTACCCCAAATGGAGATCTATTTTACTAAAGAATTTTGTCTCATGTAACTGGTCGATTAATTCGTCTATACATGGCAAGGGATACCGGTTTTTGATTGTTACTTTATTTAGGGCTCTGTAATCAACACACATTCTAAGAGT